TGCTGACCTTCAGGTTACCTAAAAAGCCTTTTTTTATTGCATTTGGAATTTGTTTTTAATGACATAAATGTACAGAATTTAATTTTTAAATAATAGAGGCCATGTTATCATCTTTTTTCCTTCTATATTACCATAGTTAATTTTTTTCTTAATTCCTACATTTTATTTCACTTGTTTAAAAGCAGAATTGTTAAAATGAACATTTTTCAGCCTGACTAATGTTTAGATTTATAATCTATTATTTACTTTTGTGAAAATAAAGTTATTGTTGGTTCCAAACACAGAGACACCATTCAGTTACAGTCCCTTTATAATGTGCCATTCCTCCCCACCACCATTCTTCAACATATGTGTCCTGGGTCCACATGCTCCTGTTTCTGTTACTCAAGTTCAGTAACACAGTACTTTCCACATAGTCTCTTTCCAGTCACTCTCTTCAAGCATTTGATAGGCTTTTAAAGTACTTTCTTTAATCTAAATTGTTTATCCTTGTATTACAGGTTTTCATCATGTGCAAAACTAAAATGAATTAAGAGTTGATGAAACATACTCTGAATACTAGAAGGGTAATTTGTGTAGATGATTCCTCTGTTTAGTATTGGTCGTATAATTTATATAGTTGCCTAATGTCACAACCTCTTTTTCTCATTTAAACGTTTAGCTTAGAGATTTCCTTGATTAAGAAAAATGAAGGACTGACCTGGCCAGAAGTAGTAGTCGGTGATAAGCGAGGGGAGCTTGTAAGAGACTCTGCCCAGTGTGCTGCAATAGCTGAGCGCTTGATGCATTTGACCTCTGAAGAACTGGTAAGCAGTTGCAATAGTGGTGGGGCTTTCCCAAGGGCTATGTGCTAGGTGAGGATTATGTCATGTCTTTCAAGCATCATTTTGCCTTTCCAAACAGGACAGACACAAATCAGGTACTACTGACCTGACTGACGTTTGACTATGGCTGAATGTTCTGTTGTTCACTTCTTACCATATATGAATACCGCCATGTGTTTCTTACTAATGGGGATACGTTCTGAGAAATACATCATTAGGCAATTTCATTCTTGTGTGAATATCACAGAGGGTACTTACACATATCTAGATTGTATAGGCTACTGCTCACCTAGGTTACATGGTATAACCTTTGGTAATCTGGGGGGAAGGGCTACTGTCATCTATGCATATATGTATGTATCACTCTCTACATATATTCTCCTTTGAAAGAAACAATGGGTCACTGCTTGTAGAGGCAAAATTTACAGTTTTACAGTTTATTCTCTAATAATCTACTTCTCATCATTGTAATTTTCTAGGTGATTTTTAGAATATGTATTACAGGGGCCAATAGGTGACATGGAGCTTAAGGCACTGGATGTCATATGGCTGGGTCTTGGATCTGGTGGCTTAAAAATCACACTGGGTGCTTATGTGTGTGTGCTCAAGATTGGAGTGGAGGATGGAAGAAAAGGGATTGCAGCATGGCTATCCCCCTTGGGGAGTGATTACTTACTTTCCCTCCTCTCTCTCTCTCTCTCTCTCTCTCTCTGGCAAGTGCATGCTCTCTATAGCAAAAACTTTAAAAAAAAAAAGTACAGTTGTTTGTGAATGATAAAGTACAATAATAGTGACAATGCACTACTCATTTTTTTTTTTTTTTTGGAGAGGTTTTTGCTATAGGGCGTGTGCGCTCGCCAGACAGAGAGACAGAAAGCGAGAAATCACCCCTCCAGGGGGGATGGCCATGCCGCAATCCCTTCTCCTCCATTCTCCTCTCGGGATCTTGGGCACGCACGCACATGCGCCCGGCGTGAGTTTAAGCCACCGGGTCCGGGACTCAAACTGCGGTCGACTACGTGGGAGTCCAGCGACAGCCATTATGCCAACTGCTGGTCCCCTTTCATTTTTGAAGTTAAATATGTTTCCACTCTAATGACTGATAAAATCTTGTTAAGAATTTGAACAGAGACCAGCAGGTGACGTGCTGAATGAGGCACTGGAGTCCCATGTGACCAACCGCAGTTTTGAGTCCCAGATCTGTTGGCTTGCTTTTCCTCTTTCTCTCTGTCTGTCTCTGTCTCTCTATCTTCTCCACCCTCTGCTTGGAATTTTGGGATTTTCCCCATCTACACAGACATGTGTCTCATGTAATCCTCAAGCTGTAGGGTCTGGGACTTGAACTATACAGCCCTGACTACCACAGTACTGACTGGCCCTTTTTTTTTCCTTCTATTTTTGAAGGTAATAATTTAGATGGTTGACTTTTTAATTTTCTTTTCATTTCTAATGAAAACATTTAATGTTATATACTTCCTTCTAAATACTACTTTAGCTACATTCTTCAATTTTTCAGGCTATCTTCTGAATGCCATTAGGGATTGATTGTGAAGCTGGTCTTTTGTCTTTCTGGTAGCTGATTTGTACTTTGTTTACTCTTAGGGCAAAACTTTTCTTGTATCTCAACTGATAACCTAGGATGTTCACTAGGGCTTCTTCCCCTGTGTGAATGCTGAACTCTTCATTTTCGTATCCCAAGCATTTTGATAAAGCCCAAACTTAGCTGTGTGACTCCTTATTTGCTGCTTCCCACTTACCGTTTTAAACTCAGCTTGGAAATCAGTAGATGGTCTTAGAAAGCAGCATTGAGTGTTTGGCTCTCTTCTATGCTATTCTTTTTCTCTCTTTGATCTTGTTTTGTTAAATACTACCTGCCTGAACTTTAAATTTTTCTGTCTTCTCTAACATGGATAATTAGAAAGGGTAAGGAGGGAAGAATGTGGAAGGTGCCCTGTATGTTCTGCCGGACATTCCCTTGAATCACTGTGACAGAATGGCTCCCACTAACCAGGAGGCTGCTGGAATTGCCCTTTAGCCAGCCACAGGAATCATAATTGTTCAAATCGATATTTAGACTACAACCAATCTTCCACAACTCGTAGCTCCTTATCCTGCCTGGAACATGGGCAGATTTTGATTATATAGATTCACCAGACCCATTTAGTTTCACAGATTCCCCCAGATCATTTTCTTAAATTCTCAGTAATATAGCTCTATATTTTGGCAAACTAGGTGTGTATACATTTGACCAGTTGTTGTAGAATTATATTTCTGGTACATGCAAGTGTATCTATAATGTATTGCTTAATGAGCTACTGTTATTCTGTGAGGATTTTAAGACCAGACAATGATCCTTGCCTTTAGCAGGAGAACATATTAAAATTCCTTTTTTTTTAAACATTGAATCATATATCTTTACAGCATACAGCATGGTTTTTCAAAGCATGCATGTGGTTCATGTCAGTAATGTAAAGATACTACTGTATACAACATTCTCAACAGATTAACTTTCCATTTTTGTGTCTGCTAAATGTTTTTTTTTTCCTGAGCCTCTCCCTCCCACTCTCTTAAAATAGCTTCTTTTAAGAGAGATTTTTGTTATAGTACATGTGCACTTGCCAGAGACGTAGAGACAGAAAGAGAAAAAGTAATAAATCACCCCCTAAGGGGTGGCCACACTTCAATCCCTTCTCCTCTGTTCTCCTCTCAGGATTTTGGGCATGCGCCCGGTGTGAGTTTTAAGCAATTGGGTCTGGAAGTTGAATCATGATCAGCCGTGTGGGAGTCTAGAACCTCAACCCATATAGCACATGCTGGCCCCTTAAAATTGCTTTTATGATTCCTGTTTATCCTTACTTTTAGCTTATTATTAACTATACCTCTGTGTTTCTGTTTAGGTGTGTGTGTGTGTGTGTGTGTGTGTGTGTGTATTTTTGTTGAGGGGTATGTATGTGTAATTCTGTTTAGAGGGGTGTGTGAGTATGTAGTTGTGCTTAGATGTGTGTGTGTGTGTGTGTGTGTGCGCGCGAGCGCACACGCGTATGTGTATACATTGTGTATCTTTAGAGGTTGTTCTAAAATTTACAATTTTTTCTTTTTTTAGGTTTTTGCCAAAGGGCACATACACTTACCAGAAAGAACAGAGAGAAATAGAAATGACAACTCACTCTCCCCAGGGGGACAGCCATTTATTCTCCATTTTCCTCTAGGAATTTTGGGCATGTACACACATTCCTAGCATTTTTAAGCCACTGAGTCTAGACCTCAAACTGCAGTCAGCCATGTGGGAGTCCAAAACTTGAACCACCACACCCCCTCCGGGCCCTACAGTGTACATATTTATTTAACTTATCATCATTTATCTTCAAAATTATATCACTTCACATGTAAGAACTCTGTACTTCTGCTCCTCTCTTTTTTTGTATTATAGTTGTTTGGCATAAACTTTATTTTTCTACGTGTTTATAGGCCTTATGGTTCATTATTTTAGCTTTAGTCAGTTAATCCTCTTTTAAAGAGGTTAAAAATGTGGGGGGAAGAGTGTCTTTCACTTACCAAACATTAGCCATTTCCTGTGTTCTATGTTCCTTTGTGTTGATTCAAAGTTTCATATGATGCAATTTATTTTTTTCTGGTTGAAGAACTTCATTCAGCATTCAAGTGTGCTGTTATTAAATTCTCCCAGCTTCTGGCTGTCTGTAAATATGTTTATCATGTATTCCTTTTTTCAAGTTATTTTTGGTACACATAAAATCAACTGCTTACAGGTTTTGTTTTTTTTTTTTTTTCCTTCAGAACTTCAGGTATACTCAGTTGTATTCTGGCTGACATAATTTCTGATGAGAAGTCAGCTGTCTTTTAATAATCCTTGCTCCTGAGTACATAATTTTTCTTCTTCCTGTACTTTTAGGATTTTCTCTTCATTCTACTTTTCAGAAATTTCATCATAATGTGACCTGCTATAATTTGATTTTATTTTTAAAGAAAAAGTTATGCTTGAGATTCTTTGAACTTGGATCTATGATTGTAATTCTTATCAAATTTGAAAAAATTTTCCGTATTTCTTGATAATTTTTTTATTTTAGTTTAAAGTATTTATATTTATTCTGTTTACAATCAGAATGGAACATCTCCTAAGTCATTAGTATCCTGAGGAGGAAAAATCAAACACAAAGCAAATGATTTTCCTGTCCTATCTCCTCCACGACACCGCTGAGGAAATTCCCACTTTACAGAGCTGTGGAAGTCCTTGCTAGTTCCGAAGGGTGGTAGGAACAACGTATTCATCTTAACAGTGGAACGGATGGTCCTTCGTTAAAGTCTTTCCCATTTTCCAAGTCTCTTTACCCCAAACCAGGAAGCAACAGGTACTGTCAGGGGTCCAAGGGTACCACCTGCATCCTACCAGTCTGCATGGCCTCTGAGCAGAAAGAAGCTTGACCAGGGTGGAGGACCAGAGGTCAGCTGTCTAGATCACTGTGGAGTCAACCATACAACTTTTTTAACATTAATTACAATCATAGATGTGCCCCTTTCTTGGTATTCTAATCCCACTGGAGACTTTTCATTAAGACCTTGTTCCTTTGCACACGTTTCAGGCACAACATATTGTCCTCCAGGTGCGGGGTTGGGAAACTGCAGGCTGGAAGGAGGAAGAGGGCATACACTCTCCCTTTTTGCTTCTCAGGAACCTAGGCTTGCCCAGCATGAACCTGCAGGTGAACCCAACCACCCGTGTTTGCAGGGAGTCTGCTCCTATGGATCACATACCACCTAACACCATAGACCTTTTGTGGGCATTCCACAGTCTCTGTTTCTTCTGACTCCATCTTCCCAGCCACAGATGCAGTTGTAGCCCAGGAGGCCAGCACAGCCTCTGGGGCAGAAGTTGTCACCTCAATTGTATTAACTCCCTCTAGGAGAGCTGCAGAGCTCTGTCTTCGGGGTTAGACGGAGCCTCTTCAGGTAGAGGAGCCATTTCCGAGGATTAGTCCTTTCAGAACACATCCCTTCCTGAGGACTTTCTGCAGATGCTTTTCCGCTGCCCATCTTTAATTTTCTTCATAATGATGACTCAATCCTGGCCTCTCTTGCTGTGGTAGGAATGTCCTTTTGATTCGAATAAGCATAGATACAGTCTCATATATGCATCTAATTTCTGGCCTTTGGAGCTGATCTTTAATTGTTGGCACCAAGTCCACAAGATGTCTTGGTGAAGCGAGTTGACTGGTGGCAGTTTAGAGGGCAATGGGGGAATTGGTATCTTTTTCTGAGGCTGTAGGCTGTCATTGCTTTGTGCTTTCTCCTTTGGACAGGAAGCTTCATCATCCTTCATAGATCTTATACGTTTTTTCCCCTTTGCTGAGGTTGCCAGTAAACCTGTAGATGTGCTTGGTTGACTGGAAGCCCACTGTTGCTTTTCAGCCTCAGACACTTGTTCACACTTAGAATTTCCATACTCTTCCCTTGACTTCTCTGTGGATTTCCACTCCTTGCTCTTTGCATGCTCCATACTCTGAAAGTAGATTGGGTTGATAAAGGAAAAATTCTTCTCACTTCCCAACCAGCCTGTGGCCCTCAATTGCTTTGGAAAGTGTCCTCCCATAATTTATTTTCATTCTTCCTGCCCTCTTCAAATAGACTCTTGGATACTGTTCTTTAGTATCCTAAAATTTAGGGTGGTTTTTTTTTTTTTTTTTTTTTTTGTCTTTATTCTTCAGTTTGGATGATCTTTATTTCTGTTTCAAGTTCTCTGGTGTTTTTATCTGCAATGTCTAATTAGCTGTCAATCTCAGTTTTTTTCTATTCCAAATACTGTATTTTCATACCTCAAAGTTTGGTTCTTTTTTATACCTTCCATCTCCCTCTGTTTTATATCTTCTATCTCCCTCTGTTTCTTCATGTTTTCCATGAAATCTTTGAGTATATAGAACATGTTTATTATACTTTTTTAAAATTTTTTTCTGCTGATTCTGTCATAATGTAATTTCTATATTTTTGTTGCTGATGTTTTTATTGTATGAGTTTGAAATTAGTTTTGAATTATTACTGTAAACTTAGCATTTTCAAGGATGAACAAATATATTCCCTTACTATTATTTGTTTTACTTATTTTTTTTTATTTTCTGTTCTAAGAATCCAAATCCAGATAAAGAAAAACCTCCTTGTAATGCTCAAGAGTTAGAAGAATGTGATATTTTCTTTGAAGAAAGCTCAAGTTTATGCAGATTTGATGCCAATACGTTAAAAACTACCCATGTGGTAAGTTCTTAATTCTAATATTTCTAGTATTTTGTGAATAAAATAGAAGTTACTGACATGATAAAGGATAAGCAGTGTTCTCAATCAGATTATCATGTTCAATGTGGTGCTAATCTAAAGCTCAGGTAATCAAAGCTGTTTTTATTTTTTATTTTTTTTTAGCAATTTTGCTTCCTATATATTTAATTCTCATGTAATTCTATAGATAATTCACTTACTTGTGAGTAAATAAGAGCCATCGCACAACTGCTTTATTTATTTTTTTTTAAAGAGAGATTTTTGCTATAGGGTACGTGCACTCACTGGAGAGACAGAGAAAGCCAGAGAGACAGAAAGTGAGAAATCACTCCCCCAGAAGAATGGCCACACCTCTCTTCTCCTCAATTCTACTCTAGGGATTTTGGGCATGCATGTACACATGCCTGGTGTGAATTTTAAGCCACCAGGTCCTGGACTCGAACCACAGTCAACTACATGGAAGTCTAGCAATGTAACCATTATGCCATCTGTTGGTCCCAGCTACTTCCTCTCTCTTTCTTTTAATTTAATTTAAGTTCTCTGGTGTTTTTATCTGCAATGTCTAATTAGCTGTCAATCTCAGTTTTTTTCTATTCCAAATACTGTATTTTCATACCTCAAAGTTTGGTTCTTTTTTATACCTTCCATCTCCCTCTGTTTTATATCTTCTATCTCCCTCTGTTTCTTCATGTTTTCCATGAAATCTTTGAGTATATAGAACATGTTTATTATACTTTTTTAAAATTTTTTTCTGCTGATTCTGTCATAATGTAATTTCTATATTTTTGTTGCTGATGTTTTTATTGTATGAGTTTGAAATTAGTTTTGAATTATTACTGTAAACTTAGCATTTTCAAGGATGAACAAATATATTCCCTTACTATTATTTGTTTTACTTATTTTTTTTTATTTTCTGTTCTAAGAATCCAAATCCAGATAAAGAAAAACCTCCTTGTAATGCTCAAGAGTTAGAAGAATGTGATATTTTCTTTGAAGAAAGCTCAAGTTTATGCAGATTTGATGCCAATACGTTAAAAACTACCCATGTGGTAAGTTCTTAATTCTAATATTTCTAGTATTTTGTGAATAAAATAGAAGTTACTGACATGATAAAGGATAAGCAGTGTTCTCAATCAGATTATCATGTTCAATGTGGTGCTAATCTAAAGCTCAGGTAATCAAAGCTGTTTTTATTTTTTATTTTTTTTTAGCAATTTTGCTTCCTATATATTTAATTCTCATGTAATTCTATAGATAATTCACTTACTTGTGAGTAAATAAGAGCCATCGCACAACTGCTTTATTTATTTTTTTTTAAAGAGAGATTTTTGCTATAGGGTACGTGCACTCACTGGAGAGACAGAGAAAGCCAGAGAGACAGAAAGTGAGAAATCACTCCCCCAGAAGAATGGCCACACCTCTCTTCTCCTCAATTCTACTCTAGGGATTTTGGGCATGCATGTACACATGCCTGGTGTGAATTTTAAGCCACCAGGTCCTGGACTCGAACCACAGTCAACTACATGGAAGTCTAGCAATGTAACCATTATGCCATCTGTTGGTCCCAGCTACTTCCTCTCTCTTTCTTTTAATTTAATTTAATTTTTTTTTTATTGACTTGGGTTAAATTTTAAAGAATCACTCAAATGTGACTAACACAAGATTTTTGAATCTGACTAACTGCAGATTATTTGTTCTTATGACAAAGAATCTGCCTGCTCCCTAAAGGTACGGTCGTATAATTTCTAAGTATTGTTCCATGCCTAACTTTTACAGAGAAAGGCACCTGATGTTACTATCATAAAATGCTATAATTTAAACTTAGTTTTTCTGAGAATTTTAATTTATCTTAGCACTGCAAAGTAGTGTTGGTAGTTTAATAGTTGTACCCTCTATTAATATAATTCTTTATTTTTTGTGTTTGAACATATTAATTAAAATGAAAGAGTGACAGAAGACTAATAAAGCCTTTATTACTGATAAATTATAGTGTATAGGTCTATTCACTAGACCTTCAGATTTAACAGATTTAACCACAGTCATAGGTAGTGATAAACCAGATCTGGCTGCTTCTGGAGAGACAGTGGAGACCTCTCATTACTGGAAGCTTCTAGCTGATTAGAGGAAAAACATGATAGAACTGAGTAGATTACACCCAGATTTTTCTTTTCATATTTACCAACCAGATGTCACCTCATTCCTCAAGAATTTATAAAATCTAAAATATCATAAGAGTAGATCTTAGTGTCACAGATGGAAATACTTAAGTAGAAAAGAAGTATAGTATATGATGAACAGAGACAGTCCTTCCTACTCTGAACTCCTAATCTGTAGAGCTGTGTTTTATTATCTTTATTTTATCAGTGTATTAGATCAGGCTTAGGTAAATGAGTTTTATATGAGATCAGAGATAGAACCAATATTAGACATAAGATCTGTGGGTTTCCAATGTGTTTGCTATAATTTTACCTAAACACAGAGTGCAGTTTAGACATCCTAAACCACTACTTCCAGTCACTTCTTGTGAATAAAATGTATTATTAAAGAATGTGAATAATAGACTTTTGCATTAAGCAGGTTTTATTCTCACAAAGTTAAGAAATATACAGATAGTCTCTCATTTCACCATAGCTTTTAGATACAGTATTTGATGAAATATTTCCAGCATATTTTACATACTTGTTAGTATTTTAATCACGGTTTAGTGTTTAGTTGCTGGTTTAAGTTCAATTAGTGCATGATTAAAACTAAAGATTCTTATCTTTGTTTAGGTTGGACTAAATTTGGGACCAAAGTTTCTCCTTATAATTCAAGCACTGTGATTTTTCTATTAGTAATTTTTTCAAAAATAGACAAAAATAACGTGAAATAAAAATGCGTAAACATTGTCATTTGGGTATAAATAGAATGAGTATAAATAAAACAGCTTCAACGAGTTAAGTAATAAGTCTATCTTTCTAACGGCAGTTTTGGTGTATTAGTATATTATGTAAAAGTCAAGGTCTACCTGATTATTTGTAGCTTGTTCAAAAGGTTTCTTGATGTACCCTAGGGGATGCCTGTTGGCTTATCATTAGAGGAAGGGAATGAGGGAGACTGAAGTTTTGGTTGTTTCAGTGGTACATCTACTTTAGGACTCAAGCTGAACTTCTTTACAGATGATACATACTCTAAATCTTCCTTCCTTCTACAGTGTTTACTTCAAGTTCTCTCTTCTTGACTTCATGTGTCATAACTTCAGTCGATTTAAAATGACTTTACATGGAGGGGTCAGTGTTTGTTCTTATAGTTTGAGGGAAAATACTTTTCAAGAAGGTCTATATTTTGAATGACAGATATTCCAAAAGATAAATTTATCTGAAAGAAATGATTAGTAGGCTTAGAATTGGCCATTTGGAAAAATAAAATGTTAAATGGATGTAAGAAGCAGCACAAAAAAAAAAATGGTAAATATCAAAACTAAATTAAGAAAAGTAGTATTATCTGGTCACTGAAGTGTAAAACTCAAACCAGAAATCAGATAGATTTGAAGATCTATTATTTTTGTTTCTATCTAGAGCTGTGCTATTTACAGTATTAGCCACTAGCTGTATAGTGGCTATTGAGTGCTTGAAATGTGGCTAGTCTGAATTGAGATGTGTTCTAAGTGTAAAATATACAGTTAATTGTTTTTCTCTTTAAATTTATTATAAATTATGATTTATATATAATTGTTACACATCTTTCTAGGATACAGAATAGTCTTAAAATATGGATGTAGTGCATGAACAGATTGAGAATATAAACATATTTACCACCTTCAGCATTTAACATTATGTTGTGAACATTCGAAACCTTCTATATAAATTTTGTTATTTATTGGTTATTCTGCAATGTCTGTGACATTCTTTATTGTGAGGTACAGTTCTTAAAAAAAAAAAATGTTGATTAAAAATCAGGCAGTAGGGGCCGGCAGGTGGCATGGTGGTTGAGAACACTGGACTCCCATGTGGCTGACCATGGTTCAAGTCCTGGACCTGGCGACTTGCTGTATCACTTTCCCTCTCCCTCTTTCTGTCTCTCTCTGATCAAATTCTAATAAATAAATAAAGTTAAATAAAATAATTCTTAAAGAAATCAGGTAACAATCTCATAATTTATAACAATAATCTTAACATAGCCAATAAAGAATTTATAATTTCCTTGTAGAGGACTGTAGGAGATAAGAGTTTATAATATGAAAAATATCTGTGGGTATCAATCATTGGTCCAGTTAGAGATAGGTAATATTGTATATAACAATAGCTCATTAGGAAGTTATAGAAAAAAGAATACTTTAACTCATGCACTGTGAGTTCTTGTAAGACCATAGTACTGTACTATGCATAGAGAAATAAGTCCTTGAAAAAGCAAAAGTAAAACAAAATTGGAAGGAGTGTTTTAAAGTGAAAACATTAAAGCTAGTGATTTGGTGGTTTATAGGCTTTATAAAGTTCTAGATTTTAGACCTTTTTAATTTCCAAAGAAAGATTCAGCCTAATATTTAGACTTTCTCTATTATCTAGTTTTATACAATGATTAATGATTATAATAAATGTATAAATTGAAACCTGTGGAGCTAGCTACATGTCAAATAATTGGTGGATTTGTATTTAAATCTGCTTGTGTGTAAAATTGTTGAAGCTACATTTAATCCCAACACTCAATGTTATTATCGATATGTGTGCACTTATCCCTTTTTTCTAGTTTTTATGTGTTCTCTTACTTACATTTGTCTCTCTTTTTTTTTTTTTTTTTGGAGAGGTTTTTGCTATAGGGCGCGTGCGCTCGCCAGACAGACAGAGAGAGACAGAGAGATAGAAAGCAGGAAATCACCCCCCAGGGGGGATGGCCACGCCGCAATCCCTTCTCCTCCATTCTCCTCTCGGGATCTTGGGCACGCACGCACACGCGCCCGGCGTGAGTTTAAGCCACCGGGTCCGGGACTCGAACCGCGGTCGACT